TTGATTGATAAGAGTTTTGCACTGCATGACAGGACTCTTCAGGTCAAAGCATTTTATGATGAGTCACACACAACCCCTCTTGTTTTGAAAGCTTTTCGGGAGTGTCTTTTCGAATTTGGCTGCAACGACCCTGAGCTATGCTACGTTTGCTCAGATAGCGGTTCAAACATGTCTGGGGTCGAGGGTATCAAGAGTGTCTACAAGTGGCACCTTTGTGCTAATCACAAGATTGTTACAATCTTGACGACTGTGTTGACGAAAACGACCACCACAAGCAGCGGGGTCAGATCTGCTCCTTTCTACAGGTTCTATGATCGTGCCCCCGGATGTTTACGATCTCATTGACGGTTGCAAAGATCTCGTTCGTTTTTTTAAACAAGCGAATTTGCAAAACTGTCTAAAAACAACTCTGAAAAAGGAGAATGCCACAAGGTGGAACTCATTACTGAAGTTGTTGAATAGTGTAATGGTGAATTATGATGAAGTGGGTGATGTTCTTCGGAACAGGCAGGAAACAAAAAGTATCTCATAGATAAGATTGACCGTGATCTTTTGATTGAGTTATCTCGTTTTCTCACCCGGTTTCAAGAAGCAACTTAGAAACTGGAAAAGTTTCTTGAACCTACACTTCATCTAGTTGCTTTCGAATGGCATGCCTTGGTGGAGCACTGTGCAATTCACACAGGAGATCACATGAGTCTTGATGATAAGGGGAATGAAATTATTGTTCCTGCCGACTCAGAGCAAATGAAAGAAGTAACGAAGTTGGTCAAAGACACGTTGGAAGAGAAGTGGAAGTTAGAGGATTTGCATGTTGTCGCAGCATTGCTTGATCCTCGACAAAAAGACCGGCTGGAACTGTTTGATGTGTCGTTTGTCCAAGTGAGGAGAGGGAAATCTCGCCTGAAGGAAATCATGCAGCAAGTTGGGGGGGGAGGTCTTGAAGACCTGGAGTTGTCCACAACAAGACAAGTTGAACCTCGAAGTGAACGACCATGCAAAAGAAGGTGCCCGTTGCCGGGAGTGATCACTATGTGCGGCTCAGATGAAGAAGATGATGTTCCTGATCATACTCCTGATGTTGAGGACACGTTGAACGAGCGGATTGAGAAAGAGTTTGAGGTTTATTTCAATTTGAAATTGACTAAGGATGAAAGACGAACATTCACCATCTTGCCTTGGTGGAAGGCAAAGGGCACTGCAGTGAAAACTGCAGAGAAACAATTGTTGTTTCCCCCTTTGCCAATCATGGCACGTGCAGCCCGCTACGTTCTCTCTGTGCCAGCCTCAAGTTCGAAAAGTGAGTGCAACTTCTCTGATGCTGGGAACACTGTCACCAAGAAGAGGAACGGCCTCAATCCTTCAATCATCAACGATGTCATTTTCATGAGATCTAATAAAGATTTAAGGAGGATCGTTTAGAACGTGCAATAGTTTGAGGAATCTAGGAATCAAATTGTTGTGCCTGTATAGTAGTACAAGCTCAGTCCAATCGATGCCATTTTTGTAATCATACTTCTATAGTTGCTACCATTATTTCTGAATTGTTTTTCATTCGTAGACAATTGTACTTCGGATTTGTCTAGTGTACTTTGCATTATCTTTTTGGAATATCATGATTACTTAGTTCCTTTTCAATATCTTGCTGGTTTTCATAATTTGTTTATGGACTCCATAAAAAATGTTTCTAATCGTTGATTGTCGACATGGGGGGAGCCTCCATTTCGAGGTACTCTACAATTATCTATGCTCATTGTATGTATTGTGGTTTCATTTCTATGATAAATGTCTTCGTCAATGATGTTTGAATTACTTTTTGGGGGGAAAAAAAACGGCCTATGGTGGAGCCAAGGTTAAACTAATAAAAAATAGAGCCATATTATAATATTTCATACTAAATAAAAGAGAGGCGGTCCATAGTGGTTCAGGCTGGGGCTGGGCGGCCGGAGTGGCGTAAAATTAAGTCCTGGTCTGGCTGGGTGCAGTTGAACATTTTTTCAAGTTCGTGGCCAGGCCGGCTGCAGTTTGCAAATTCTGCAAAAAAACATTTATCCAGTTTGGACGGCTGGCCAGAAAATTTGTTTGCAGTTGGGGCTGGGTACAATTGTAGGTTTTTTTATAGACCAGATTTGGGTTGGATGCAGTTTGCCACAGATGCAAAGATTGCGAGCACTGGCGCTTGCGCAGCATGCAGCCAGCACCCGAATGCCAAATGCGGAGGTAGGCCCTTTGCTATATGAAAGTGGCCTGCCTGCTTGCTGTCCCAGGCTGCGATGGGCCTTTCCCAAGAAGCTTCCGGTAGGCCCAGGTAGGTTGAGGCCCAGTCCACACAACTCAGTACCTGGGTCTGTAGTGGTTGCTCGCGCCCAACTGTCAACGGCCTGTGTTAGGCCCTCATCCCGAATCCAGCCCAGGGCCTGTCTTCGATACATTCAAACAGGCTGCCCAGGGCGTGGGTCCTTCCAACCAACTGGCTCTGCGCAACTGCCTGAATTTCCTTGAGTTGCGTGGTGACCGAAATAGGGGCCCTCAAACCCTCGTCGTGCCTGCCTTCACTTAGGGCGGCCGATGTGATACTTGGCAGGGCCTGAAAAGGGCTCATAGGGGCATAAGCCTCGCACAATCCCTACCATCCCATTTACGTTCCAGGAAGTTATCCTAATCTCCGACTGCGTCCGATTCCCTTGATCCATCCTTAGCCTCTTCCTTAATTTGCCTGTTCCTCCTTCCTCCATGGGCTCCTTTTGTTTGCTTCATATATGTCCCTGACTGCCCCCTTGTTTTATACTCCCTGCAAAGTTGCTTCCACTATCGTGGACACCAAAGATTTTTTTTTTCCCAAAAATTTCGGCTTCCAAGTGAATGCGTCCACCTTAACTGCCACTGAAGCACACCAGGCTACCCATTCCGTTGTAACCTCCCTCCCCAACAGTCCATAAGGAATAGTTTCCACCACCTGCCACGGCATCCAAACCAGCCCCTCTTTGAGTTCAGACTTGGCTTGCAAGTGTATGAGCAGGGGTTTGAAGTCCGTTGCTGCCTCGTCACCTCCTTCCTCCCCTATTTCCATAGACTCTTCCCTCCTATCCCCAAGCGCATATGCTCTAGGCGACACTCCCTCCCCGATCAGATTTTGCAGGTCCTTGGCCGTACAGGCACGGACCGGAGTTGTGACCAACTGAAGGGACTGGTGGATTGCCACTTCCCAATCCGAATGTTTTTCATTCCAACAGCAGGGCAAAATAACTCTCTTCTTCTCCCGTTCTTGGCTTCCAATCTTGCTGCTGCTTCGATTTCTCTCCACTAACCCTTTGCGATTTTTTATAAATTCACTGTGTCCTCTTCTAACTCCCTGTTCTCACCTTTGAGCACATTAACCTGGGCCATCAATATCGCTGCTTGCCTTCTCAGATCCTGTTTTGCATCTTCCGCTTCCTCCATCAACCGATCTTGTGATCCATCCTCCAATCCCACTGCACTTCCCTGTTCTTCCTCCCTCTGTGCTTTTCTTTTCTTGCTTCCTCACTTCCTTTCCTTGCTGTGATATGTCTTTGGCCATTGAAAAATTTTTGCATACTCATCCTGTTGAATTTGAATGTCATTTTTGACTGGGCGAGCTTTCCTGGCATATTGGGCAGCGTAGAATTCATTGATTTCCCCTTCCCTCTTTAACAATTCGAACCTATTTTTTGAAGTAATGTCGTCTGCCACCTGTGTTGCCTGTTTGAGATTCCTCAAGTGTTTGTGATGGGCCAACCTGATCTCGCATTCAATCGTCCTACCCCATTCTAATTGTTCCACTTCATTGACCCACTGCTCTAGGGTTATGTCCTCCTCCTCCTTCTCTGACGTTTCCTGTTCTCCCTCTTCTTCTGATAAATCTTCTGAATCCATATCCTGTGAGCAGTCCCTTTGATCTTCCTCTGCCTGCAATATTTCCTCTTCATTCATATTCTCTACATTCTTCATTAACTTTCTTCTTTCCTCTCTCTCCTTATCAGATTCTGATGGTGTGGAGGCATCCTGTGATACTTCCTACCCTCTCTTCCTGGACTTCCGTCTCCAAATACCGTTGTGTCATGCGCGCTTCCTTCCCGTGACTCCGTTGTTGTGCTCCCCTCCGTTGTTGTACTCTTGTGTTGTCTTTTCACTTACTGAGCACTCCCTTCCTGCCTATCTAACCCATCCGCCTCTACCGACGATTCTTTCCTCTTCAATTGTTGACTTCCCCCACCTGTGCCTTCCCCCTCCTCTACTCCACACCCCATGTTTTCTCCCTGTTCTTTCCCCGTTTCCCAGTGTTGCCCTCATTTTCCTTCTGATGTTCCTGCTGCTGTGCCCTGGCCGCTGCATTTTTCAAAAATGTCATTTCTGCGTTTTTCCCCACTATGTGAAGTTGATCCATAAGTTGCATTCTTTGTTGGACATCTAGCATGATTGTGTCATCCAACATTGGTCTAGATATGTACCCCGTTTCCTTATCTTCCATTCTCTTTGCTCTTGTCTGTCTCCATCTACTGTCATACGGGGGGTAAATGTCCGGTTTAATTGTAGGGTCCTTCTTTAGTACCCACACCCACTTTGGGTTCTCCAAATTGTCATTGAAGATCCACCCCCTGTACTGTGGTGAATTAATATACCATACCCCTGGTTTGCTTTCACATTCCTGGAGCATCGACTGACGCAGAGGAGTCTGCTCACCACATGCCCCTCCCTGTGGACAGGAAGTTCCCAAATGACCCCTTCCTCTGCACTTGAAACAGAAAGGATTAGTTTTTGATGATATAAAGACCGTAATCCTCTGCCCACTTTTCCTGAAAATCCATTGGTCTGGAAACCTCGGCGGAGCCCCCGATTTGACCTCCAAGCACGCCACCCGAGAGTCATGATTAGGTGCGAGGAAGTCCGGGTTTGGAGGGAGCCAATCGATGATTGGATTATTGGGGAATTCCTCCACTAACCTTTTCTGGACGAAGCTGTGCATTCCTTCTGATTACCTCCTTCGACACTTTGACTTCCGCCTTAATTTTTGTTTTCTCCAACAAAAATTCCATTGCTTTCTGCCCCAATGTACGAGGCTTGGAGTCTCCTATGTTTACACTTGTCCCTGTTTGAGAAGTGGCCTGAGGTGACTGATTCTCAGTCCTCTCCTCTTGTTTTTTATTAAATTTCCGCTTCTCCCTTTCGCTCATTGCCCTTTGGGCAGCTGCCGCGTAGGATATGGTCATCCTTTGTTTTAAGAATTCTACGGTTGAGCTGCTAAGTGTCCTTCCTTATCGTTCCCTCCTCTTTCTTTGTCCCCAATGTAATTACCCTGTTCTCGTCTCCCCTTCAATAGCCAAGGTAGACCTTCTTTCTGTTTCTCTGTTCCAACAAGACGTACTATGCTGCTGATGTTACCCTTTGTTTCCTTGGTTACTTTCCGTCACCCTTTCAATCTCGAAGATAGTTCATTCCTTCTTCGATGTCTGTCCCAACAGAAGAGATAACTCAATAGTAACTCAATAATATACCCAATGGTCTTCACGTCTTGCAGTTATGGGGTATGGGAACAGTCTCACCTGTTTTCTTGCTAGCTGTACTCGCTTACCCCTATGCACTCTTTGAAATCTTGGTTGGATTGTGCATGAACGTGTCTGATGATCCCCCCTTCCCCGGTACTCCGTAGATCTCTTTACGTGGTGATCGAAAATCTTGAGTTCGATAGCAGATGTCGGATCTTTGTAGGTATCGGCTGACGTGGCGACGAGAGTGACTTAACGTAGAGAACGAAAATGTCGAGTCCGATAGTAGATGCCGGATTGCTGTTCGTAACGGCTAACGTGACGACAGGAGTGGCAAAAGATGACCTCACACTCGGCTGACGTGGCGATGGGAATTACAAAAGACAACCCCACTCTCACCCTCCCTAACTAGCCGACCCCTCTCTATCTTATGTTAACTCCTCTCTCTCCCTGAAAACCTTAGATGACCCCGATCCCTCTCTCTCCCCGCAAGCCTCAGATCACCTTCGCTTCACTATTCAACTTCGCTCCCGTTCGACGAGAGTGACGAAGGACCACCCCGCGCTCTCATTTCCTGACTAGCCCACTTTCACAACTGGCCCGCCCTCCCATTCGTCAACTAACCACTTCACTTCCGATCGTCTAAGAAGATCCATGGAGTACTACCATCGTGAAAACACTGACCTGTCCAAACTGATCCATCACCCTCACCTTCGCATTCGACGCATGGCATACCGTATTCCGTGGCTCGAGTAAGAGTTCGATGCATGATGATGCTGGCAACCATACCCATCGCAGCCCTTCACCAGCAGCCTCCTCATAACAACACCAACCTGTCCGCACGCTGCACCACCCACATCCCAATCCACCCCATAGCCATCACTCCAAGCCTCTCATCCTCCACCTCACACCACCCCAAACCCTCTCCTCCGACATCGCGCCGCTCCACCGCTTGTTACCGCCCGGCACCGCATGACTTCGCACCACTCCACCACCTGTTGCTGCCCGGTGCCGTTCAGTTCGACTGCGCGGGTGGGGCGCAGCGCTCCCGGCCGCGCTCTCGCTGCGCACCCCCCACTATTTTTTTTATTTATTTTTTTGATTTTTTTATTTTTTTTTGGGGGGGGGGTCCGGAGCCGGGGTTGGGGGTGCCCCCCCCCGGACCCCCAGACCCCTGCCGGGGCCCCAGGGCCGGGGCTCGACAACCATTGTCCTGTGCTGCGGAGTGTTTTTGTTGTTTTTTATGTTTCTGTATCCTTTGTGCCGTTTCGTTCAAGTGCAAGGCTTTTTGTTTGTTCTGTGGGTTTGCTTGTTTGTTCTGGGTCGTCATCATTGACGTCATGCGTGGTAGGCGTACGAAGAAGGTTTCGCAAAGATGCATTTTTTTGGCTGTTGGGGTGGAGGGCTTCTTGCTCCGAGGTGGTAGTGGGTGTATGTCTGTTGTCCATTTTTTGGGGAGGTTTTTTTGGGGGGAGGGTGGGTTTCGTGTGGTGTGCAGGAAATTGGGGCTGGTTTTCTATTTGGTGTTTTGTGAGTGTTGGGGTGGGAGGCTGGGTATAGAGATTTTGTGCTTAAAGAATTGTTTTTTTTTTTTGTTTTAGTGATGGGAGTTCTTATTGTGCGTTGGTTTTGGGGGGGGGAGGCGGGTGCAGATGTACTTGTTTATTTTGTTATTGAGGTGGGTGTATCTGGGTGTGTTTTGGGGGTATGTATAGTGGTTTGACAGCGTGTGTGGGAGCATATGCGAGTGTTCATGCATGTGCGGGTGTTGTGCGTGTATGTGTTAGTTGTGGCTGACTTTTGTGGGTATATGTTGGTGGCGGGTGCAACTGAGTTCGGTGCCTCAGGGTCACATGAACGCGCGCGACTTGCGGAGGACGGCCGTGACAGGTTCGCAGCGTCAACAACGTGAGCATTGACTTCGTTCGTGAGGACGGGTTGCTGCGCGGGCGCTGTAGGGGAGGACATGTGGTCATTGCCACGTGTCAATCCTCTGCCACCCTGAGTGGTGTGCGGACCAGGGGAGAGTCCACAACAGGTTTGAGGCGACATTAACGAACGTCCGTGACAGGTTAGCGGCATCAACAACATGAGCATTGACTTTGTTCGTAAGGACGGGTTGCTGCGCCGAAGCTGGAGGGTAGGACACGTGGTCATTGCCACGGTCAATCCTCTGCCACCCGGAGTGGCGTGCGGAACAGAGGAGAGTCTACAACCGATTCGAGGCGACATCAACGAGAGCACTGATTACGGCGCCCGCATTGTAGAGGAGGACACGTGGCCATTGCCGCAAGTCAATTCTCGTTCCAGGGGAGAGCTTATAACGTCAACAACGTGAGCACAGACTTTGTTCGTCCGGACAGGTTACTGCGCCGGCTCTGTAGGGGAGGACAAGTGGTCATTGCCACGGGTCAATCCTCTACCACCTGGAGTGGATTGCGGGCCAGGAGGGAGTCTACGAGAGCATTGAATTCGTTCGTACGATCAAGTTACGACGCCGGTATTGTAGGGAAGGACACAGGGTCATTTCCGCGAGTCAACAGTCGGTCAACCGCAGTGGGGCACATGGACCAGGGGAGCTATCAGGGTGACACATGGATGTCTCAAGAAGACAGCACGCGGAAGACAACATGGTGGAAGCGGACTAGTGGTGTTCAGCGGGGAGAAGCACTTTGTGGACAACCATGAGCAATCAGGGGGGAGTGAAGAGTTACACTCCACGTCAGTGAAAGAGGTGTCAGGCACAGAGTAAATCTCAAATATGCATGACACGTCAATATAAGGAATGCCAGACAGTTGCAAATATGATCGAGTGATTACGTTAAAAGCATTGTGGTGCTGTTGTGGGCAGAAGCGAGAAGGGAAGTTAAAGCGTGAGTCAGCATACATGCAACGTCAGCGAAAGAGGTGTCAGTCGCATACATGCCACGTCAGTGAGGGAGGTATCAGGTGGTCGATGAGTGTATTGTGATAATGCCATTGAAGCGCAAAAGAAGGAAGGACGGGTCAAGAGGTTAGAAAGTCAGAAAAGGATGAGGCGCTGAGTGGTGATCTTAGGAGGGTAGCTACAGCCGCGGCATTGGAAGTCAAAGAAAAAGGGTTTCGGGGAACAAAAGACAGAAGTAACGAAGGGAATAATATAGAATCTTGGGGGAGGAAGGATGGATGTTTGGGAATAATCGACACAAAAAGTAAGATATATAAGAAGCAGTCGGTAAAGCGAGGAGTGCAAAACGAGCGCAAACGGAGTGAACAGGGGACCTTATATCCAGATGAGATGGCATTCCATTGACCCAACCTTCATTCACACCTTCTCCCCTTACCTCCTTTTCCCCCCTCCTCTCGTTCAAAAATCCCCATGGCCAGTTGTTACATCTTCGACTCACACGGGTCCTACCGGACCCGACTTAGGGCCGGAGGGACACACCAGGGCCTAAAGGCCCGACCTTTGGGGTTACAGGCCCTAAAGGCCTGATTTTGGACCATCACCCATCGGGTAGGCCCAAACGACACTTCGTTTGGGCCTGGGCCTGGCGGCGCTCTTGAAGCTGCCGCCCGCCGATTGAGGCTGAACCGTCCATCTGGACGGTCCAGGGTCTGGCCTGGCCTCGCAGCATTGAGGCCAGACCATTGCCCACCGGTATAAGTACCGGTATCCGCCTCAGTAGGGGGATCGGCCTACCGGAACTCTACCGGCACGGCATGGTCAGTGCTAGTGCACTGTTTTGATGCGCTAAACTTAGCGCAGGGGCTGAAGCAGGAGCGCAGCATAGCTCAGCAGCGAGCGGAGCAGCACCAGGGCGACTGAGCCAGCACGGCGGCCATTGCCGCCTGAGGTATCGGGAGCTTGGAGGGTCTCTCCTCCTCTCCCTCGCCAGTCCCCTCTCTCTCTCTCTCCTCTTCCTCCTTCTTCTTCTTCTCCTTCTTCTTCTTCTTCTTCTTCTTCTTCTTCTTCTTCTTCTTCTTCTTCAGATTGGAGACTATCCAGTTGGACAGAGATCAGRGTTGGAYTTCGGTGATACGAGACTGTGGTACTTACCTGATTGGAGACTTGGAGATTGTTGAGGTTGATAYTCGGCTGCATCACAGTTGGACACCGGTTACATCTGGACTCTGTTATCTCCGGCATTGGTGACCTTTGGTCCTCGACATTTTGTTCTTGTTATATGACATTCTGGACTACCATTTCGGAGACCTATCAGACTCTATCTTTGTGACCTATCGGTGTGATCTACCTCCTACCTCCTTCGTCTCTCCTCCCACCTTTCATCTGTGTATGTGTGTACGGGATCTGGGTATCGTCTATGAATGACCCAGACCCCACCATCTCATGATTGTATGTGTGTGGAGTGATGCCATGTAGGTCAGTGTATGTGAGTCAGTCTATGTGAGTCAGTTCGTTATCAGACTTCCGCTGCATAAATGCTCATCCTATATTGGTTGATCTTTGGTTCTGCCCATACTCATTGAAGTATGTAACACCAGTCCATATCTGAATTTCAACAATCAAATGGTCAAGCAATATTCAATCCCTTGCCCTATTGTAGAATTAAGAATTAAGCAAGGAAAGGAAAAGTAATTGGGAAAAAAAAAAAAAAGGGGAAAGGGTACTTAAACACATTAAAGTCAAACAAAATGAAGAGGATAATTCACTATCAAAGGAGCCACAGACGAGCTGACTCGACACTCATGTTCCATGGAGCAATGAGGCACTTGGCGATGAAGCACTTACACACTCCTATAAAATCTGTGTTACACTCTAGAATAGCTCAAGCTCGTAAGCATCATCAACATGTAGAAATCTCCCCCTCTATATCTGATGAAGAAATCATGACAACTGAGGAGCATGATGAGCAAAAACAGGCTCTGAGTAAGGCCCTGATCATCAATCCTCTGGAGGTTCACAAACAGAAAATGATCAAATGAGTCTTACGAGCCAAGTGAATCAGATGGAAGTATGTTCAGTAGCATCAGAAGGACAGGAGTCTCAACAGGCTCAACAGACTCAATCAAGCGAGGAGATCATGATGACTCAAGCACAAGATAACTCACAAGAGGACTGTCTGCCGATGGTAAATGCACAAACAAATTCTCAGGGGGAATGTCCAATGGATAACGGTGCTAGTATGGAACGCAAAAGTCGAAGTGTTGGCAAAGAAGGGGAAGAAACTGGAAGTTGGAGAAGGGGAGAAGAAGAAAGCTGGGGGGGTAGAGGAGGGAGAGGATTCCTAGGAGGGCGAGGAGGGAGAGGGGGGAAAAGTGGAGGAAAGACAGGTGGACGAAGAGGGGAGGACTTGGGAGAAGAAAGGAAACAGGGTGATCAGGACGTTCAGATGAAGGGGGAGGGACAGGGAAAGGAGGATCGACAGGGGAGACAAGGGGGACATCAGTTTACTCAAAGGGCAAGAAGTAGGGGGCACTTCAAGACAGACCTCACACCCTGCTGCCTCGCTATGCTGGGCACAAAGAGCCAGGGGAACTTTTCAAACAAAAACACTAGAAATTAAACATCAGGCTCCACAGGCGCAGCCTCTCCAGATTCCATTAGGAAACATTCCCACAGTCAGAGCCTTTTTTCTGTCAAAAAGTTTCAATCCATCGGAATGCAAGGTCGTCGATACAGGTGGTAAAAAGGCAATGGTTAAAGCATATCCTATGAACAAACTAGCTGAAAGAGATGCGGTATATCAAACCCATGCTAACAACTGGGTATTTCACGATGATGCTGCGTATAAGTCAACCAACGATAAAGTAAAATGGATAGACAAACGTCTGGCTTACTTCAAGGGAAGCAACAAAGCAGCAATAAAGGATTTTCTCATCCAACTGGTCAATTCCACAATTTTCACGGTGCTTTGTTTGCACGTTTCGGATAAAAAAATCGTAGAAGAGTGGAAGAAATTACGTTGCGACCGGTCTGAAGTAAGAATTTATCCATGGTCTCCGTTAAGACAAGGACCGAATGAAAGAAGGAACCGACTAATGGAAGAACACTACTGGGTGGAGTTCAGGCACATCCCCATTGAAATTCAAGCAACATTTATATATGATTTTGGAGAGAATCATGAGATTGTTGATTTTATCGAGCCGCTCCCTGCTTACATTGCAAGACGGGATGATTACTTGATGCTGGCTTTGAACCATCCTCCTAATCAACCGTTCGTTATGGATGACATCATTCCATATCGGGTGGGAGGTAAGGAGTATCATATACACACAGCGCACAAACTTCACCCTTGGTGCTTCCGTTGCAAATCATATGGTCACCTGTGTACGGATCCCAACTGCTCGCAAAATCCGGCTCGTAAAAATAGAATTACGGGAAAACTAATCAGGGACTAGGAAGATTCTCACGCCCGGCCGGTCCTGCCCGGCCGGGCACCCGGGCGTGACGCCCGGGGGGGGTTGATGCCC